GAGGATTTTATAACGTCAAAGTCCACATTCCACACAGCGATGGATTGCATCAACAACAGAAACAACACTCATCCTCTAATCGCACTCTTTGTACAGGACGAACGCCAACTTGGGACCACCGCTTGTTAAATGCCATAGACTAACAAGAAAATATCACTAAAGGGATCCTTACTCTAAAATGTCTGTTTTCTGCAAAGATGGGTAAAGTGCTACATGAGGTCTTTTTGTCCCTCTCCAGCGCTCTAGACTATGACGTGTTTCACTATGGGGTCTGATGGAGAGACCAACACCCACTACACCACTCTCTATGCCCCAGTGTTAGTGTGTGTGTGTGTGTGTGTGGTGTGTGTGTGGCCTCTATCCTCTGACCTCTCAGAGAAAAAAAATGTGAAGGTCAAAAAAAGACGGGGAAAGAACACAATATGTTGATTGTGCCCCTAACGACGAAGGGGGGGGACAGAAAGAAGCGTGTCAGACACATGGAGCACGGTGAAGGCTGTTTTACGGACCCGGCCTTCGGCGCTGACTCAAGAAAGGAGGGAAAACTGTGGAGAATTGTGGCAAGGACGAGAACGGTCACGCCCGGAGGCCCCCGAATGTTTGGGGAGTCACTGAAGAAATACAGATGTTGCTGAGAAAAAAGCTGCATGTGCTCGTTATACAGCGTAAAAACAAAGAAGATAAGTGGTGTCGTGTGTAAGATTATTCAAGACATAAAGGTTAAGTTTGGGCTTAATTTGGTTGCAATGTTTCAACATCAACCCAAAACAATTCCCCACATGTCCAAAGATAAAGTTCTATCTAATGTGTGTGTTTGGATTTCAGCTGGCAAAAACTAACTAATAACGTGGCAGAGGTCTAATAAGCCACTGTAAAACAGTGGATATGTGTATTTTTTATAAAATGCCCTGTTTTTATAAAAATACCAATGAGAAATAACTCGTTTCACCATCTTAATTTGATCTGATGACATTTAGGGAGCCGCACAATGAAATTAATTCAATTTTATATCCATTCAAGTTAGTGGAGGTCTACACCAGAAGCTAGTTTTTGGCATACATTGATAAACATACGACTGAGGATGCTTCTTCAAGGGTTAAAATGTAATTTAATCTAGACTTTAACTTTGGTTTAATAAGCCAATTAAGTGTTGCTGTGGTTACCGGCAGTTTCATAAACCTTAACCTTTGATAAACCTGTCATTCACAGCAGCGGTAAAACTGTTCACGATCCTCCGTATGCGGTTTTATCAGACACCTGCCAACAAATCAGGATCAGGATTGTCCTCGGCTGTGGCGTGAAAAGACTCATAGCTGGAAACTGTGCCGTCTGTCTCTGTGCTCAGGAATGTGCAGGTCTGCACTGAGAGCTGTTAGGATTTACGAGACTTATTGTTAAAGTGTTTAAAAGGGGAAAAGCTACATTCCCGTCTCGCTGATACACACTGACACCACAGTTTTAACAGGATGGAGGAGTCTGCTGTAGGAAGGATGGCGGGGTTGGAAGAATGTGAAATTCCTTACTTTAAAGTTAATTGCTCCTCAGTGGAAGTAGAAAACTAGTACGTGTCCCCATTGATGCTAAGATTTACCTATTTTTTACAGTGATTTGAATTAGGCTTGTTCATCATTTGGCCAGTTTTTATGGTTGGAATAAACAAAAAAGAGAAAAATGTCCATTAAAATGGTGATGCAGCCGCCATTTACAACTCTTAAATATGTCTTTTATTGATATTAAACATTATTAACTGCTGCTAGCTAGCTTCTAACTGCTTCTGCATCGCCTGAAAATGAGTCAGTGACCACTGATTGAGTCTTATTTCACCCTAAGTCAATATTTGGAGATACTCAGTCAAACTCTTGAGCACGTTTCTCATTATAATCTCATCACATTCTCATCACACTCACACACAGAAATGGGCTTCCATAATATCAGGCCACCATTATGGTCTGAATATTGCATTAAAAAGTGAGGCAAACATTCACTTTTTACTTAATAAAAGTCTAAACATGATTAAAAAAAACCCTCTGGAAAAGCATTACTTGAATAAAAATTCTATTTAAAACGCTTCAGAATCTTACATATGGCACCTATAAATAGTGTATTGCTATGTTGGCTATGATTTAAGGATGTCAACTACTTATATTAAATATCTATATGAGTGAGAAGTATGCCAACCAGCCCCAGCGTCCACTAGATCTGACTGACAGCACGTCATAAATTAGGCTAACCTTCACAGCCCTACGTAAGTTAAAGTTGTAGACTGTAGTGTCTGCTTTCTTTGCTGTCCTGTATGTATATAACATATAAAGACATAAATCCCACACCAGAAGTCAATCTGGGGATCTCCAGAAAAAAATGTTGTGGTGTTTTGTTTAAACAGTTTGTCTTGGATGTTTGTGGGTTGAAAGATAATTTCAATGTGGTTTTTCACACCTTTCAGATGGAAAGTTTTAGCCTTCATAGAACGGAAAAGTTCCTTCAACTGGTGACCTGATTCAATCACCCACAAGTCTGCAAGTTTTGCAAAGTATGTTTAAACAGGTACCAAGTTTATTATAGTTACTAAACTACTACAATCTCTATTCTGAACATCTTAAATGTTGCCCCTGACAAAGAGCCCCAATATTTTTGTTTTAAACAATTTTTAGTTTGAACTCTGTAATAAAAGTTTTATAATATCAATAAAAGTATTGAAATTGAGTCATAAATTTAAAATTTTTTTAAATTTTGTCTTTTTTTACATCAAATTGTGTTGAATAAAAACAAAAAAACATGATTCGAAAGATTTCTAAATACAAAACTATATCAACTCTGATTGGTACTGTTTCAGTCAGCCAACTCATGTTTGACTGAACTAGCTCGCAGGCTTCGCTCCATATATAACAAAGCATTACACAAAGTGATGTTTATTCATTGTCTTTACTTATGTTTAGTGTTTTTTAATTATTAGCATTCAATTATATTATTCTTTACCTATTTTTTAACTTATGTGTGTATGTAAGTGTCTTTGAGTTCCTAGAAAAGCACTTTATAAATAAAATGTATTATTATTATTATTATTATTATTATTATAACAGCAAACAGTGTCACTGAATATTTTGTATTATGTAACTAAGTTTGTATGATTTTTACAATTTAAACATTTCAAACATTCACAAAAGTGATTAACTGGGTCAATTTCATCCTGGT